CACCTCGGCCTCCCAAAGTGCTGGGAACACAGGCATGAGCCACCATGCTTGGCCAGAATCGAGGTTTTTTAAAATGCAGTCTTGACCTATCACGGAGGCCCTGGTTAGGGGCCGGCCCCTTCCTGAGCAGCTGATTGGTCCACACAGCCACCCTGCCCTATTCAGATGGCCCCACTCGGGGGCCACTCCCCACCAGCCCTCATTGCCCCAAGGCCAGGTACCAGACAATCAGGGACAGCTCCTATGCCCTGGAGCCGAGAAATGACTCATGTTAGCTGGCCACAGGCAGCCGGGTCCGCTACCCTTTCCGCTCCCTCCCCTGAGCTCCGCGGGCTGTTGTCCTGTCCCGGGCGCAAGCCACCCCGTGTGGCCCTGCCCGGCAGCCGCCCTCTCCTGGGGAGAAGCAGGTCACTAAGAGTCTGCCTCTCCTCGCTCCCAGCGCCACTGCGATGTTGCGCCATCGAAAGAAACTTTAAATCCTACAAACCGCCAGGGTCAGGAAAGGCCCCTGCGCAAGGTGGGACCTCCGGTGGCTGCCCCCAAAATGGGAACTTCCTGTCCCAAACCTACCCGGGCACAGAGAGGGACAGCGTGGAGCCAGGCCCTGGCGGCAGTGCTGGTGTGGTTCCCCGGAGGACAGGACTGGCTTCCCGGGTGAGCTCAAGCCTGAGCCACACCCTGCCTTGAACTGCTGTCCCCTCTCCCCACGTCCAGCCTCACGGACTCAGCGTCAGTGCTGAGGGCCCTGGTGGCCCTGCCCAGTCCCCCTCTGGGGTGGCAGCTACGCTTGGTCCCAGGCCTTCTGGTCTTGTGCAGGATCGAGGAGCAGAGCCCTGCCCCCACCCACCCCTAGAGCCTGAGCTCCGTGGGCGGCTGACCTGCAGGAAGCACCACCGAACCTTCAGGCCGAGTCGCCAGCACACAACCCCCTGCCAGGCCCTTCCAGGCCCCTCGCACTGTTGGCCTGTGGCACCCGCCATGGAGAACTGGGCCTAGGCTGGTCCCCTGTCCTTCCTCCCGCTTCCCACCCCCTCCCTGCACCCAAAGGAGCACCCAGCCAGCACCCCCCACCTCGAGAAACCCCACAGACAGGCGGAGTCACTGGGAACTGCTGAAGCTCTTTATGGAGAACCAGGAGAGGGGGCGCAGGGCGGGGGGAAGGTGGAGGGTGGTAGGAAGGGGTGTGGCCGGCCAGGTTCTGCAGGGGTGGGGAGCTTTTCTGTGTCCCTGTGAACGACGGAGGTGCTGGGTGGTGCTGCCCTTGGGCTGCTGAGGAGCCAAGGTGCCCCTGCCCTAGAAAAAAGGGGGAGGGTGAGTGAGGCCGCGACAGGGAGAGGGTGGGACAGGGATGTGATGTGGGGGCACATGTGGGCTCTTGGGTGCTGCAGTGTGGGGGCACATGTGGGCACTCAGGGGCATGGTGTGGGGGCACATGTGGGCTCTCGGGGACTACGCTGGGGGCACACACTGGGCTCTTGAGGGCTATGGTGGAAGGCACATGCGGGCTCTCGGGGGCGATGGTGTAGGGGGCACGTGCTGGATCTCGGGGCACACATGGGCTCTTGGGGGCTGCAGGTGGGGGCTCCAGCCTCCAGATTGGAACAGATGGAGCAGGGACCACCCCCGCAGGCTGCTGACAGAGCTCCCTGCTGAGTGAAGAGGCATCAGGGTGACTGCAGGTCAAGGGGAGGGTGCGGGAAGGACAGCGATGCTGTCTGGGATTCTGGCTCTGCCCATACCCTGGGCGAGTCTCCGAACTCTGGTCCCCTCGTGCAGCCAGCAAGGGGTCAACCTGACACAGCGAGCACAGGCACGCCTGCCACTTTGCTGAATCTTTGAGCAACTCATCAGGTAAGCGAGGTCACAAGGACGGCTGAGGGTGAGCGGTGCTGAGGAGGAACCTGAATCTCCTGCCTGCTCCCGCCCACGGGGTGAGGGGGTAGACACCGTCTCCACCAGCAGCCAGCAAAGGCGGGCTCAGCGCTGTGGGCTTCTCAGCTTCCCAGGAGTCACTCCCAGGGCAAGAGCGGAGGCTGGTGCCCGAGTGCGGGCAGCTCAGGAGAAGATCTCCCACCTGCCTGGCCTAGGTGGGGCGTCTCCCACCCAGGTAGAAGTGTGGTGGGTGGGAGAGACCCCAGGGCCTCTCGAAGTGCCACTGAGCCCAAGGCTGGATTTTCTCAAATGTCCTCTAAAGCTGTTCACTCACCCTAATCGCTCCCTGGAGAGCAGGTTTCTGCAGGAAAAGGAAGCACAGGCGAGTCAGGAGACCCCAGGAATGCAGTCAGGACCGGGGCCCCTCCTCAGCCACCAGCTCCACCACCCCAGGAAGGACAAAGCCAGAATTAGACGCAGCACAGTTACACGCCCATGCAACGCGGCTCTGCTGACGTCCCCACGCAGGGACACGGGGGGCTCTGCAGGGCCGTGCCTCCTACCGCTCTGCCTGGGTATGAGGATGCTCTCCGTGCTAAGTCTGCGGGCTCCCACGGCCTTCTCAAAGTCCTCCAAGGCTTCCAGGTTGTTCTCGGGGTCTCTGCCTGTGGGTGCAAGGGCGAGATGTGGGTGGTTGAGGCAGAACTGGGCAGTCGCCAGCACCCCGTCCTGGCCTGGAGGCCTGAGCTGGGCTGGGGAGGGGGACCTCGCCCACCACAGGGGCACTTGAACCCAGAGGCCCTTGGGCTGGCAAAGTGGGACCAGGGTGCCGTACACGGCTGAGAAGGCTCCCGCGGCAGCAGAACTGGGAGAACAGGAAGGGTTCTCCGTCCATCCCCAGGCATCTCCTGGAGTCAGGATGGACGGCAGGACAGGCCCGCCCTGGAGGAAGTGTCTCTCCCCCCGGGGGCACCAGGGCACTGCCTGTCCCATTCCTCTGTCATTCGCACAACCCTGGATCCAGGGCGAACTCAGGAGCCTTCACGGGCCTCGTCCTCAGACAAGGATGGCACTGACACGTCACTGTCTGTGGGAGCCACCGCATCCGGAATTCAACCCTGGGAGCTGGAACATTCTTTCCACACAGACTCCTGCTCACATCCCCGTTCCTCCCCACTGCTGGACATCCCGCAGGAATGTGCTCAAGGATGACGCTGCAGGGAGCTGCCCCGGGGGAGGGCCTGGCCTGCCATGGGACACGTGCGACCTCTGAGCCCCTGTGCCAACAGCCGCGGCTCCTTCCTGCCTTCGCTGCAGAGACCTAGGCTGGGGCATCCGAAATCCTGAGCTCCAGGGGTGGGAATTGGGGCCTTTATCAGGAAAACTCATCCTAAGGAAACTGCAGTGGGTTCCTGGGTCCCAGTGGCTTCTCCCGTGGGGAAGAGGGTGCAGGAGGCCGTGGGAGGAGGGAGGGCGGGTGGAGGCTTGGGTTGCAGGGTGTGGGTGCGGGACCCACCCACGAGCTTCACCCCTCGGATCGGCTTCCCGTGCAGCTCGCCCTCACAGTAAAAGATGTAGTGGTCCTTCACGTGTGACCTGATGATGTATGTCACGTGCTTGCCCCCGTCTGCAGAAGGACAGCAGCACAGTCCTGAATTAGCCACCGGGGCCTTCAGAGAGGATCCCGGGACAGCCTGCGGCACCAGGCCCAGCAAGCCCCACAGCTCCTGCACCCTCCCAGCCTCCCAGAGCTCTCCGACCCAGGGTCCCCACCAGGCCTGAGCCCCAGGCCACGGGACCCCCACTTCCCAGGAACCTGATGCACCCAAGAGGCGGCCACATCCCAAACCAGTCAGTCACCAGGGGTTCCTCTGGGTATGAGGTCTGCGGAGGTGGGAGTTGGGGTGCAGCACCCCGCAGCCAGATACGACTCTGCTCCTGGCCCCGCCAGAGCCACAGCCGGGCTACAGGGAAAGCCCTGAGGGGCTGCCCCGGAATAAACCCGTCACACCTGGTGTTTGGGGTCAGGTGTTCAAGTCTCTAACGCAAATTGACCAGTGGGAGAGGAGAGTGGGCTTTTAGTGGAGTCAGGGGCAGCAGGCCAAAAGGCCACCCCAAAAAGGCACTGGCTGCCCCCCCAATTCCAGCGTGTGTTCGAGTTCGGGCTCTGGCTCAGGCTGCGGGACTCACCGGCCGTGTATTTTCCCGGCTCGTCAGTTTTCTCCAGGACGACCTTCACCTCCTGGCACTGGCCGCTTATCCTGGAAAACAGAAACCCCCTGGCAAAGTGGCCCTGGCCTGTGCCTCCCCTGGCCCTGGAGCAGCCACGCTGCAATGCCCTGCAAAGGTGGCCCCGAGTCTGCCATAGGCCCATAGAGGAGGGTGCTTCTCTGCATCTCAGACCCAAGCACCAGCGGCCCCTCCGGGTCACACATCGCAGTTCCCGGGGTCTCCCGAGGTGGCCAGGAGCTCTGCACCACTCCTCCTGGTGGCTGCCTTCCCAACCCCTCCACCCCCAACACATTTCCTGCCAGAGGGACCCGGGCTGCCTGGTTTGCAGGCAGTGTCTGCGGCGTGGGCCTGAGCCTCATCCCGCCAGCTGCATTCTTCCTTTTGGAGACATTCAGGGACAAGCCCCACATCCATCATCATCTGGCCCAGAGAGGGAAAGGTTCAGTTAGGGGCTTTTGGAAAAAAAAAAATCAGGGTCATTGCCAGCGTCAGTGACTTTCTAAGGATCAGCCCCCAGGACCGGAGCACAGGCACTGCATGCCACTCAGGAGGGAGGCACTCAGGAGGGAGCCACTCAGGAGGGAGCCACTCAGGAGGGAGCCACGCAGGAGGGAGCCACGCGGGAGGGAGCCACACAGGAGGGAGCCACGCAGGAGGGAGCCACACAGGAGGGAACCACTCAGGAGGGAGCCACGCAGGAGGGAGCCACGCAGGAGGGAACCACTCAGGAGGGAGCCACGCAGGAGGGAGCCACGCAGGAGGGAACCACTCAGGAGGGAGCCACGCGGGAGGGAGCCACGCTTAAACCACACAATTGTGCAGGTGGGAGCCACGTGGGTGAATCACACAGGTGGGAAGTCAAAGATGTGAGTCATGTGGGTGGAAGCAGCACAGGTGAGAGCCGCATAGGTGAGCTCTATGCAGGGACTTCAAGGGAGTCTTCTCCATGGCGTCCTCTGCCCCCTTTTGGTCATTCTGCAAGCCCCATCCCTGCACTTCTCCAAAGCAGAAATGTACTGCCAGGACTGCGAGTCGAGTCTGCGGGCCCTGCCTGCTGGCTCTGACTCTGGTCAAGGGTAAACACCTTTTCCCAAAGAGACCTGCACATCACCAGACATTCCCTAGTCGGAGGAGGAGGTGGGTGGTACCACTGGTAGCCCACAAGGTCTGATCCGGGGCCTCTGTCCCCTCAGGCCCCCTCCAGCCAAGGCACCTCAGTGGCACAGTTTGCCCTCAAACATTGCAGGAGGGGCTGAGAGAGGCCTCCCAGCAGGTCTGCCCACCTCCTCAGCACCAGAGCCCTCCTGGGTGGGGAAAGGGAAGGCCCCAGACCAGGTTGCAGGCTGCCCGGCGGCTGGCAGACACTCACAGCATGGTGGCCTTGGCTTCCAGGTTGCCCCCTTCCAGGATCGTGAGAGTCATAGGTGTCACCGATTCCAGATTCATCTCAGGGAGCTCCCTGTCCACTGTCATGGCCTTCAGGTACCACGTCCCTGACACCTGGAGAAAGTTCCTCTCTATCAGGCTCAGGCCGACCGCTCCAGAGCCTCCCCTACTCTTCCCTGGCCTGCAGCCCCCAGACTGTACCGCACCCCGAGGGCTGGAGACGGGGAGCATTCCCCAATCTAACCCACCCAGGAAACACCCAGCACCCTCGCCAGGCCCACCTGAAGGTGGCTCCAGCCCCTACAAGTTGACCAGGACCACAGGAGCCCTCACCCCCCAGGGGAGAAGTGAAGTCAGCCAGACCCCCACCCTCCCAGTCCTGCCCCCTCTATGCCCCTGCACTCCCTCCCCCGCCAGCCCAGACCCCTGCTGCCCCATCTCATCATTCCCTCGGGGCAGGACTTTAACGCCCAACCCAAAAATGAAGGTCTCCTTGGATGGGGGAGGTAAGGGGTCTCCATCCAGTCTCAACCTTGCCCCATGCCCCCTCCAGCCCACCCTTCCCATCCAGGCCTCACATCCTGAATCTCGTCGTCTGAGACCAGGAGGTGGTGGGCCTGCAGGGCAGCAATGAGGCTGAGGCTGACGGCCAGAAGCAGGGCCTTCATCTCTGGGGTCTGAGTCCACGGCTGCCTGACAGGTCGTTTGCTGGGGCTGAGAGAGGCTGTGTCACTCCTCCCACAGCCGCCCTTTATATGCTGGGCTCAGGGTCCCCCAGGGACCTGGCACAGGTGACTGACCAATCCCTTCCTGGATGCAAACCACGGCCAGCTCTGCAATGGAGCAGATAACATGCCATTGTTGTTAGAGGCTGTTGAATAACAACTTGTTAATCCCAGAGGATCATCCGGACACAGAACCAGGACCAGGTCCAGAGGAGCGGGTTTGCAGATTTCACCTGGAAGGAAACTGAAGGGAGTGAAGGGCATGCAGGCCTCCTGGGGGGGACGTGTGCGGCAGTAACAGGCATCCTCCAGCCATCCCACACGTGCTGACGTGCACGATTGCTAAAGGGGACATTGCGGATTGGAGTCTGCAGGTGCCATCGGGCTTGGGTCTCGGCTGACAAATTCCTGCAAATCTCTAGGACAGGGCCTCATCACCCAGCAATTTCATCCATAGCCGAAAAAGTGGGACCCTCCTGTGTGACACGGTACTGTGTGCATTTAAAGAGGGTGTCCCGGTCCGGGCCGCGGCTGGCTCAAGCCTGTACATCCCAGCCACTCTGGGAGGGACGTCCGAACGACGGGTGGATCACGAGGTCATGGAGATTCGAGACCCATCCCTGGCGACACGGTGAACCGCCTCTCTGATAAAATACAAAAAGAACTAGCCGGGCGAGGCGGCGGGCGCCTGTAGTCCCAGCTACTCGGGAGGCTGAGGCAGGAGAATGGCGTAAACCCGGGGGGGCGGAGCTTGCAGTGAGCTGAGATCCGGCCACTGCCACTCAGCCGGGCGACAGAGCCAGATCAGTCTCAAAAAAAAAAAAAAAAAAAAGAGGGTGTCCACACTCCTGAGCACGATGTGCAATAAGGAACCGCTCTGCCCCACACACAGCAGCAATAGGTCAGACAGACAAGACCAAGACAGATGTGTGTGTGTGTGTGTGTGTGTATGCATGTGTGCACATATATACATGCACACACACACACACACTCACACACACTCACATGAAACCAGGAATGGAGGAGAAGCACAGGCTGGTGATGGGCAGAGGCAGGGGCCTGTCAGCCCTGAGTCTCAAGGCAGGCAGAGAGGGCCTGGGTCCAGCTCCTGGCAGTGATGGGAGCAGCTTCCCTGACTCCAGAAAGGAGGCTGAGAAACCCTTCCTGACACATCCCAGGGCTGTAACTTCTTATAACTGAGTGGAGCACTGTGGGCATAGGAAAGAAAGAAGACATTGACACAGCCTTGAGAGCAGAAGCTGAGACAAGCCATCGTTGGAAGGGGTGACTTTATCTGTGACATCCTCCGCATCACTGCAGAGCAGAAGCCTGGGACCCAGGGCAGAGGCTACGAAACACTGTTAGACAGAGGACAATGACAACGAGATAGTGGAGAAAGGCAGAAATGCAGAGGCATAATATCCTCGCCTTGAACTGAGCAAGGCCAGGTTTCCAAATTACCCAAGGAAACCCACACTAAGAAAGGCAGGCTAAAAATGAGCAATTGGTACAGGAACTTACACCAGCCAAGGAAAGTCTGACACACACGTTAAGACTGCAGGAGTATGATCAAGACGCCTAGAGATTTAAAAAATATAAAGTGTAAAATTAGAACTGGCCAGAATATAAGAAACAAGGAGAGACGAAATAGAAATAATTACAAATCTTGAAGATGAATAATAAAGTGAATAAAAAACTCAATAGACAGGTTAAATTCCAGACTTGACGTAATAGAAAAGAGACTTAGTGTCATGGAAGATAGTACTAACAATATCAACGAAGACAGAAACATTTGAAGGAGAAATTGAGGTGTTACAGATAGATTCAGTCTCCAGCCTGGAGCTAGGAATAAAATGAGTAGAGGAAACAATCAGAGTGCAGCAGCTCTGAAAACACAACACACACACACAGACACACACACACACACACAGACACACACACACACGTACACACACGTACACACACATACACACCCACACACATGCATGCACATGCACACCCACACATGCACACACACGTGCACACATACATGTGCACACATACAGATGCACACCCACACCACACACATGCACACACATGCACACACATACATGTGCACACATACAGATGCACACCCACACCCACACACATGCACACATACATGCACACACACGCAGGCATAAACATGTGCACACACACCATGCATACATACATGCACACATGCACACATGCACACATGCACACACACATGACCACACATGTGCAAAGTTAACACACATGGAGAATAGATCAAGAGGCTTCAATATAAACAGAATAGCAGTTCTGAAAGAAAAACATTTTCTGAAATGGCAACCAAGCAATGTAATAGCTCAGATTTCTTCAGAATTGAAAAGACATGAGATCCCAGATCTAAATTACAAACCAAGAGAAATCCACTCCTAGAATATTACAGTGAAGTGCAGATCATCCAGGAGAGGAGAAAAAAGTCAAAATGACCAGAAAGAAGAGCCACAGTACCTACCAAAAATGCAGATGTCAGCTGACTGCAGACTTCTCAATAGCAACGCTACCTTCCAGAAGACAATGGAGTAACGTGTTTAACAGACCCAGGGGAAATCACATTTACCTTTGAGTGTTATTCTCAGCACAACTTTCATAAAATATTCAAGGCAAAATAAGGACATATTGGACATTAAAAAGCAACTGAGGCCCAGTGAGGTGGCTCGTGCCTGTAATACCAACACTTTGGGAGGCCAAGGTGAGGTCAGGAGTTTGAGACCAGGCTGACCAACATGGTAAAACTCCATCTTGACTAAAAATACAAAATTAGCCAGGCATGGTGGCATGTGCCCGTAATCCCAGCTACTCAGGAAGCTAAGGCAGGAGAATCGCTTGAACCTGGGAGGTGGCGGAGACTGCAGTGAGTCAGACCACACCACTGTACTCCAGCCTGGGCAACAGAGCAAGACTCCATCTTGAAAAAAATAATAATAAAAATTAAACAACAACAGCAACTGAGAGCGTCTACCACTCACTGAATTCCATCAAAGGAATTTTGAAAGGGAGAATTTTAGCAAGTCTATAGCAGACCAAGGTCAGGGGGTTAAATGATGTCAGCAAAGCAAACTAGCTGTTGGCTGTACAAACACGAATGGTGCAGACTTTGATGCGGGGAGGAAGGTTCTGTTTTACTGGATATTTAAAGCGAGCTAAATGCACACAAAACACACTTGTGCCCACACGCATGGGTTCATACGAACCAAAAGATGCATGTTAAGTACAGGAGAATAGTGATGTATGGAGAGAGGGAAGTGGAAAGGGGTGGGCAGGGATAATAAATTTTCAAAATACATAAAGAAGCTTGTTAGACAAAAGTTTTCATCAGTATAGATGAAAAGGGGGCCAACATGAAAACAAAAGCACAATCACAAGAAGATGACTATTCATGAATTTGAAGGCATACTGCATCAAAACGCAAGAAGCCAAAACGGACTGAAGAACAAAGGGGTCAAATCCAGTCGGAACAGGAGACACCAGCACTTCTCCATTAGAAACAGAGGCCGAGGGTTTTAAAAGTTCACACCAATGTCGAAGATTTGGAACCAAAATTGGAAAGTATACAAAGACACTGCCTCAACAGCTAAACAATTATATTGTTATAATTGTTACAGTGAACAATTCTTTTTTTTTTTTGACACGGAGTCTCGCTCTGTCACCCAGGCTGGAGTGCAGTGGCTGGATCTCAGCTCACTGCAAGCTCCGCCTCCCGGGTTCACACCATTCTCCTGCCTCAGCCTCCCGAGTAGCTGGGACTACAGGCACCTGCCACCTCGCCCGGCTAGTTTTTTGTATTTTTTTAGTAGAGACGGGGTTTCACCGTGTTAGCCAGGATGGTCTCGATCGCCTGACCTCGTGATCCGCCCGTCTCGGCCTCCCAAAGTGCTGGGATTACAGGCTTGAGCCACCGTGCCCGGCCACATGAACAATTCTTAATTGTTAATTCTTCTTAAGGACACATAGAATAGTTTGGTTTTGTTTTGTTTTGTTTGTTTTTGTTTTTGTTTTTTTGAGACGGAGTCTCTCTCTGTCGCCCGGGCTGGAGTGCATTGGCTGGATCTCAGCTCACTGCAAGCTCCACCTCCCGGGTTTACGCCATTCTCCTGCCTCAGCCTCTTGAGTAGCTGGGACTACAGGCGCCCGCCACCTCGCCCGGCTAGCTTTTTTTTTTGTATTTTTTAGAGACGGGGTTTCACCGTGTTAGCCAGGATGGTCTCGATCTCCTGTCCTCATGATCCGCCCGTCTCAGCCTCCCAAAGTGCTGGGATTACAGGCTTGAGCCACCTAGAATAGCCTTCCCTGTCCGTGCCCTGCATCCACCTGGCCGCTGCCATCCTTCAAAACCCAGCCCAGTCCCACCTCCTCCGGGAAGAAGGGGCCCTGCCCGTGTGGCCTCCAGGGTGTCTTGGGCCAAGGCAGCCGCAGCGGTCCCTGCACGTCCCCGTCCCAGGTGGGTGCCTGTCCTGAAGGAGCCCAGTCATCCCGAGAGGCCTCAGCCCTCTCTGGCCACCCGGGCTCCCTCGCCCTTCCGGGCTGGGCTCAGCAGAGGCTCTTGGGGCTCAACTGAGCTGAGCGGAGTTGCGGGTGGTGGAAGAGAGGGGCACTTGGCCATGGGGGCCCAGGGCGTGGCAGGGGGCCCAGGACGCAGTCGTGGAGGGGCTCCTTCCTGGGAAAGGTCGCGCTGTGTTTGTGTTCCGGCTCTTTCTTCTGCCTGAGTTCCTCTGAGGCCCTGGCTTATCTGAACACAGGACCCTGTGTGCCACAGCATGCACCATGTCACGGTGAATGTCACACAAACAGGAACGTGCCTGGAGGCCACCTGGACCTGTCCTCCTGCCCATCAGCTGCCAAGGTGATGCTGTGGACACGGCTGTCCCCACCTGCTTCCCCACTCATGGAGCCCCTCACGGGCTCAACACCCCCCTTCCAGAAGGCTGATCCCTGGAGGGGAGTGGCAGGCAGTG